AACCCATTCCCCAACCCACATCACCCACGGCCCATTCGCCCCACCTCCGGCCCAATTCACCTCAACCCGCAGCCCAACCCTCCCTCGCCCCACTCACAAGCCACGGCCCAATACCCAGTCACCCAATGGTTACCCGATCCAAAGCAGGCATCACCCGGCCCAAACACATCCTTGATCTCAGCACCACCGCCCAAATCTCCCCCCTACCTCCCACCTACCGTAGTGCCCTTAAGGACCAAAACTGGTATGATGCTATGTGTGATGAATTTAATGCTTTGATTAAAAACGATACATGGGAACTTGTACCCCCCTCCCCCACACAAAATGTTATCACTGGCAAGTGGCTCTTTCGCCACAAATTTGGCCCTACAGGTGATCTGTCCAGGTATAAAGCTCGGTGGGTGGTCCGTGGATTCAATAAACGCTTCGGCATTGACTACGAGGAGACATTTAGTCCGGTCGTCAAACCGGCTACAGTTCGCATTGTCCTCAGCCTTGCCCTCTCCCGCGGGTGGTCGATTCATCAGCTGGACGTGAAGAATGCCTTTCTTCATGGCACACTGCAGGAGACAGTCTATGCCAGTCAGCCATCCGGTTTCCAGGACCCTGCCAGGCCCCATTACGTATGCAGGTTGAAGAAGGCACTATATGGTCTTAAGCAGGCTCCCCGATCTTGGTATCATCGCTTTGCAGGCTTCCTCCTCACCTTGGGTTTCCGTGGCTGCAAGAGCGATACATCCCTCTTTGTCTATACCCGGGGGAATGACATGGCATATCTGTTGCTCTATGTAGATGACATTGTACTCACTGCCTCCTCATCCCCTTTACTTCAGCGTCTCACTCAGCAGCTCAAAGGGGAATTCGCCATGACAGATATGGGTGACCTTAATTTCTTCCTCGGGATCAATGTTCAGCGTACACCAGAGGGGCTCTTCCTTCATCAGACTCAGTTTGCTCACGAGATCTTGGAACGTGCAGACATGCTCAACTGCAAGCCCATCTCCACTCCTGTTTATACAAAGGCAAAACTTGGGGCTTCCTCTGGCACACCACTTTCCGATCCCACCTTATACAAGTCCGTTGTTGGAGCATTACAGTACCTTACTTTCACACGGCCGGATCTCACCTATGCTGTCCAGCAGCTATGTCTCCATCTTCATGCCCCCCGCAGCACTCATCTCACCGCCATGAAGCGTGTTCTTCGCTACTTACATGGCACCACCACTCATGGGATCACTCTTCATGGCACACGCACAGATTCTCTACAGGCATACTCTGATGCTGATTGGGCGGGATGTCCTGACACTCGTCGCTCCACCTCTGGTTATTGTGTTTTTCTCGGCGACAACCTCATCTCTTGGTCCTCCAAGAGACAGGCCACCACATCCCGCTCGAGTGCTGAGGCCGAATATCGAGCAGTTGCAAATGCCGTGGCTGAGGCAAGTTGGGTCCGGAATCTTCTACTTGAGTTGCAGCAACCTCTGCGCCGCACCACTCTGGTCTTCTGTGACAATGTTAGTGCAGTGTATCTATCGACCAACCCAGTACAGCATCAGCGCACGAAACATGTAGAGGTTGACATACACTTTGTCAGGGACAAGGTTGCTCTCGGACTGGTCCGTGTTCTCCATGTTCCCTCTTCTTCCCAGTATGCCGACATCTTTACCAAAGGGCTACCTTCTCTCCTCTTCTCCGACTTCAGGCACAGTCTGGGCATCTGCCCATCGCCCGTCACGTAGTTGGTAGCATGTTAAATATATTATTGTATATTTAATATATTTATATATGGTAGTTTCCTTTGTATAGGGTTTCCTTGTTTGTATCCTACCATAGTTAGGAGACCGATAACTTTGTATATATACGGGGCTTGACTCCACAAGATGAATACAGAAAACAATTATTCTTCACTACGTTTGTATAGCAGTCCTACGGTTAATGATGTGGTTGGACGCCGCCAGGGAACAAGCCAATCTTAGTGGGCCCAGACCGTTGGATTACGGACCAACAGTCGGAACCCTAGCTGTAATCTGTATATAAACCTCTTCCCTTCTAAGGGAAGGGGGACTTATGTTCTAAGTGGTATTCTAACTAGCACAATATTACTCAATTTACTTGACCCCATATTTTGTGCACTCTCGACCCAGTTCGATACTCTTCCGTCTGGTTACCTAGGCCCCTGGGTTCCTTAACCCAACAATATATATATATATATATATATATATATATATATATGATGGGGAATAACCCCACGTCAGCCTAGGGCTAACATCAGCATGAATTTCCTAAGTGTCGGGCTTGGACGTCCATACCCGGCCCAGAGCTCCGCTCGTCTTCGTGCCCGGCTCAGAGCTCCGCTCCTCTTCCTACCCGGCTCTGCGCTCCGCTCGTCCCTCCTGCTTAGCTCGGCCAACCAAGTTGAGCCCGAACCCCGCGACAACGACGTGAGGAAAGCGACGTTCAACGAAGACTTGATGAAAGCGATAGGATGAAAGGGACAAGACCTAAGGACAGGTGACGTCCGCTAAACGACGAGCCTCGATCAGAGGGCTTTGACTTAGTGTATTGTACCCCCTATAAAAGGGGTGGCACCCCTCATTGTAATGGACCCGAATTTGAGATCAATATACTCCTACTTTGCATTCTCTCTCTCTAAAAATTATATTATTTCATACTCTCGGTGGTTTATAGCCATCAAATTGGTGCTCTCGTTGAGAGGAGAGGAACATACTCGTAGGTTAACTCCTGAACGCGAGAATGGTGCAAACAAGGAGCAACGTCCCCACCACAAGCCAGGTAGTTGGCGAGGAGAACGCGCCGGGCAGCGGCAACGACACGGGAGGTATCGGCTCGACTCCGGACGGGGTCCAGGCGCTGTTCGGCTTGGGGGTGACCGCGGAGCAGCTCCAGGCAGCCGTTGCGGAACTTTCCGTAATGGGTGGGAACGTGCCTGGCGCCGGAGTTGGCAAAGCTCCGCCCGGTCCCCATACTGAACACGCTGCCACAAGGGGAAGAAGACCCGGAGGAGTAGAAGGAGGCCCGGCAAAGGCCCGGTGTTCGAGGAGGTGATAGTGGAGGACGTTCCCGAAGGAGAGGACGATGAGTCCAGCGAGTGCCGAGTGTCGGCCTTCAGGCGCTTAGGAGGTGAAGAGACCCGGGTGTCGGCCTTCGACAGGCTCGATCGCGGGCCTTCGACAGGCTCGATCGCGGGCCTTCGACAGGCTCGATCGCGACCTCCGCCGACAAATAACCGAAGGCAGGCAGAGGCATGTAGAGGAGTCCGCGACATCGGATGCTCGCTCGGCGAGGCCCGAGCGGAGCGGAGAAAGGCGGGACGAGCGCACCTAGCGCCGCCATAGCCCGACGAGAACTGAGAAGACAAAGGTCTCTGACCAAGGAGTATCTCAGCTCGCTCGTGAGATTGCCGAGCTCAAGCGCCGAGTGGAGACCAGGGCTCCATACAGCCAGCCCATCTTGCGGACGGTAACCCCGTTCACTCCGAGGGTCATGTCGATTCCACTACCGGCAAACTTTCAGCCGTGGCAGATCAAGGCCTACAACGGAACGACGGACCCCCAAGATCATTTGTCCAAGTTCTACGCTTCCATGGAAGCGGCGGCAGCCCCGGACGAGGTCAAGTGCCGATGCTTTCTCACGACGCTAGAGGGCTCCCCGTGCGATTGGTTCAACCGGCTCCCGAAGGGAACCATTGACGATTGGGATACGCTAGCAGAGAAGTTCTTGATGCATTTTGCGGCCAACCGAAGGCAGAGGCTACCTTACTCCCACCTGCTCAACATATGCATCCGCAAGGGAGAGAAGGTCCGCGACTTCATAGTCCGATGGGAGAAGGAGGCTAGAGACGTGCACGGGGCGGATGACCAAGCTTTGGTGGCCATGTTCCAAGCAGCCCTTCCCCGCGGAGAGGTAAGGAAGGAGCTCCGCAAGAATCCTCCCCCCACGTACCAAGAAACCTTGGCGCGCGCTAAGTTCTTGGCCTCGGAGGAGTTCGATGATGCCCCCGACTCCGAGGCCGCGCCGGCCAAGCGAGCTCCCGTAGACTCAGGGGAGATAGCGAAGAAGAGGAAGAAGAAGAAAGATTACACCGTGGGCCCGAGGACGCCCTCGGCGGGAGTATACTCCGTGGGCGCACCCGTGGGGACGGGTCGGGAGCTTACCCTCTCCCCGCTCCCTCGCGTAGAGGCCTACGCGGTGTCCAGCGGAGCCAAGTATTGCGAGTATCATCGCAACAACACTCATAACACTAAGGAATGCTTCACTCATTAGAAGGAGATGCAGCGACTCATCGCCCGAGGGCCGGCTCCGCGAGACGATGGAGCAGCTCCTTCCCGTGGTCCGCCGGAAGGAAGAACGTGGAGGAAGCCGACCGAGCTGGTCGCGGTGGCCACGCATGCGAGGAACCCCGAGAAGAGGCACATTGGGCAAGAGTGTGATGGTCTAGACGAGGACGAAGCCCAAGGATATCCGGTGGGATTCATCCACGGAGGAAATATTGGCGGGGACTCCGCCGCTCAAAGGAAGAGGTGGAAGCACATGGCCTTCGTCGCCAAGGTCCAACAGGCGCCGGCGCCCAAGCTCGGGAGACGAGAGCAAATCCAATTCACGAAGAAGAATCTTCCAAACACGCCGAGCCCCCACCGGGATGCCTTAGTCGTGAGGATAGAGATCAACAACGCCATAGTGCACCGCACCTTGGTGGACACGGGAAGCTCGGTCAACATAATGTATGAGAAGACCTTTCAAGACCTCGGCTTGGACCGCATAGACTTAAGGCCCGTGCGCTCTCCTCTCTCTGGGTTCACGGGGGACTCCATCGAGGCTGAAGGAGTCATCACCGTGCCCGTGATAGTAGGGGATGGTGCGCACAAGGCCAAGTTGAAGATGGAGTTCATGGTTGTGAGCATCAGCTGCGCGCACAACATGATCCTAGGACGGCCCGGCCTTGAGAACATGAAATGTGTGATCTACCCATACTACTTGTGCATGAAGTTCCCCACTCCTTCGGGAATCGGGGTGGCGAGGGGAGACCAAAAGTTAGCTCGATCGTGCTATGTCCGAATCACAAAGAAGTTGCCAAGAGATGAGATGTTGGTCGTGCATGCACAAGAGGAAATGCGGAAGCTGGAGGCACGGCCGAAGGCCGAGCCCGCCGAGGAGGTCGAGGAGGTGCCGCTCGATCCTCGGACACCCGAGCGGAAGGTGAAGGTCGGGGCGAGCCTAACCGGGAGCCAGCGGAAGCGCTTGGTGGACGTGCTCGCCGCCTACTACGTGATCTTTGCGTGGGGACCCGGGGAAATGCCGGGGGTGGACCCCACAGTCATATGTCACCGCTTGGCAATCAACCCGGAGTCTAGGCAGGTGAAGCAGAAGAAGCGTTTCCTCTCATCCGAGCGGAGGGAGTTTGTCTCTAAGGAGGTGGCCACCATACAGAGCATTGGGCATATTAGGGAGGTTAAGTACCCGGAGTGGATGGCCAACGTGGTGCTGGCACCCAAGGGAAACACTTGGAGGATGTGCGTGGACTACACCGATCTAAAAAAGGCGTGCCCCATGGATCCGTTCCCACTCCCGAACATCGACCAGCTGGTGGACGGAACGGCGGGCTGCGAGCTCATGAGTTTCATGGACGCCTTCAGCGGGTACCACCAAATCCGGATGCACCCTGAGGACGAAGAGAAGACATCTTTCACTACCCCCGACGGAGTATATTGTTACAAGGTGATGCCTTTTGGGCTCAAGAACGCCGGGGCGACCTACGCTAGGATGGTGAGCAAGCTCTTTGCGCCCGTCCTCGGGAAGAGCATGGAAGCGTACGTCGACGACATGATTGTGAAGAGCAAGCATGCGACCACCCATGCGGAAGACTTAGAAGGAGTTTTCAAGATTATGGAGAAGTACAACCTTCGGCTGAATCCGAAGAAGTGCACGTTCGGAGTTCAAGGCGGTAAGTTCTTGGGACATATGGTGAGCAGGCGCGGTATTGAGCCCAACCCCGAGAAGGTGCGCGCCATCCTTGACATGGAAGCTCCACGAAATGTCAAGGAGGTGCAGCGCTTGACCGGAAAGTTGGCTGCGCTCAGCCGTTTCCTTTCCAAGGTAGCAGACCGAGCCGCTCCGTTCTTCCAAGCTGTGAAGAAGTCCCGAGGGTTCGTATGGACGGAAGAATGCCAGCAATCCTTTGAATCTCTCAAGTCCTACCTCCTCTCTCCTCCGGTTCTCGCGAAGCCCGAAGCTGGGGAGACGTTGTACTTATACTTGGGAGTTTCACCCAAGGCTTTGAGCTCGGTCCTGGTCCGAGGCGAGGGTGGAGCTCAGCACTTATACGGTGAAGACACTGAGGGGTGCCGAGCTCAGGTACTCAGTAGCCGAAAAGACGGTTCTGGCCGTGGTTTCAACCGTGCAACGGCTGACTCCCTACTTCCAAGCTCACCCGGTTCAAGTGCTCTTCCAACAGCCCATAGGTGCGCTGCTCAGGAGCCCGAACGCGCCCTCCCGCATGTCCAAGTGGGCGGTATTCCTTGGAGCCTTCCAAATCGAGTTCAAGCCAAGGCCAGCGATCAAGGGCCAAGCGCTAGCTGACTTCGTGGTAGAGTGCACCGCTCGGGAGGAGCCGAGCCCGGAACTTGAAACCGATGACTGGTGGATAGTTTTTACGGACGGCTCCTCCGCCGCCAAAAACTCGGGGGGTGGAGTGGTAGTCATCGCGCCCGAAGGCTTTAGAGCATATTACTCAATTCGATTCGGTTTCAAGGCATCAAACAATGAGGCGGAATATGAAGCGCTCCTATGCGGACTACGCCTAGCAGCCGGGATGAACGCGACAAAGCTAAGGGTAAAGTGTGACTTGAAGCTAGTGGTCGGCCACGTCTCGGGAGAGTTCGAGGCGAAGGATGAAAGAATGAAGAAATACAGAGATACCGCCCTAGAATTACTTAAGAGCTTCACCGCATATAGTGTTGAGCAGATCCCTCGGGCGGAGAATGCCGAGGCGGATATCTTGTCGAAGGTGAGCTTAGACACGCCCGAGCATATCAGGCGAATGGCGAACGTGGAAGAGATGTCCGAGCCGAGCATCCATGCTTTCCCTGTGGCAGTGATCTGTGCTCGGCCAAGAGATTGGATGGACGACATAGTCGCCTTCCTGAAGGATGGCGCCCTCCCGGACGATGCAATAAAGGCCAAGTTGGTCCGGAGTAGGGCACCTGGGTACACTTTGGAGGGCGAAAAGCTATACAAGCGAGCGTACAACGGTACGCTGCTCATGTGCCTCCGACCAGCTGAAGCGGAGCAAGTCATGGAGGAGGTGCACGCAGGGATCTGCTCCGCCCACCAAGGAGCCTACGCGGTGTCAAGGAAGATAACCCTTCAAGGATATTTTTGGCCAACAATTGTTAAGGATTGCGCGGAGTTTGTGAGGAAGTGCAAGGTGTGCCAAGATTTCCAGAAGGTACTGGGGAGGCCTTCAACAAACTATACCCCCATCAGCACGGCCATCCCGCTCGCACGGTGGGGGGTGGACCTCGTGGGCGCGCTTCCTAGAGGTACCGGGAACGTAAGGTACGTCATTGTAGCCATTGACTACTTCACTAAGTGGGTGGAGGCGGCCCCATTGGCAAGCATCACCGGAGCTCAATGCCGGAAGTTTCTCGCAAAGCAAGTCATCTGCCGCTTCGGCGTTCCCGAACACATAATCACGGACAATGGAACAGAATTCGAGTCCAAGCCCTTCAACAACTTCCTTGAAAGTTGGGGGATCAAGCACAGCTACGCGTCGGTTGGGTACCCACAGACGAATGGGCAGGTCGAGAACGCCAACCGAACGATAGTCGACGGGCTAAAGCAGAAGTTAGAAGCTTGCGGAGGGGAGTGGGCAGAAGAGTTACCCTACATCCTATGGACCTACCGGACCACGCCCCGAAGGGCAACCGGGGAAACTCCCTTCGCCTTATGCTACGGATTCGAGGCAAGGGCACCCGCAGAAATCTCCATCGTAACCCACCGGGAGGAGATCTTTGACCCCGAGTGCAATGAGGAAGCCCTGGCATGAAAGGCGAGAAGCGGCCTTCATACGGGCAGAGAATTATCGAAGGAAAGTGAAGAGCTACCATGACGGTCGCGTGCGCGCACGTGGGTTCGTCGAAGGAGATTGGGTGCTGCGCAAGAGAACGGTGAGCCGCCCCCTAGAAGGTGGAAAGTTTTCCAAAAATTACGAAGGCCCGTACATCATCAAAGAAGTGGTGGGCCATTCGACGTTCCGCCTGCAGACGCCGAGCGGGGGGATGTGCCCAGGACCTGGAACGCCGAGAACTTAGTTATGTTTTATCAGTAGAACTCTGATGTACACGGACCCCAAAAAGGGAACCCGTAAACCCTTTTGGTTGAACTCAATGGAATGAAGTTTTTTGCGAACAGGGCCTGCTGGGACACCCGCGCGCTCGGCACTCCTCGTGGAAAGGAAGGCCGAGCGCTGACCATACCCGGATGTTTTTCCCGGATGAAGGTCAAACACTCGCACTCGGCACTCCTCCTTGGAAGGAAAGCCGAGCGCAGACCATACCCGGATGTTTTTCCCGGATGAAGGTCAAACACTCGCGCTCGGTGCTCCTCCTTGGAAGGAAGGCCGAGCGCAGACCATACCCGGATGTTTTTCCCGGATGAAGGTCAAACACTCGCGCTCGGCACTCCTCCTTGGAAGGAAAGCCGAGCGCAGACCATACCCGGATGTTTTCCCGGATGAAGGTCAAACACTCGCGCTCGGTGCTCCTCCTTTGAAGGAAGGCCGAGCGCAGACCATACCCGGATGTTTTTCCCAGATGAAGGTCAAACACTCGCGCTCGGTGCTCCTCCTTGGAAGGAAGGCCGAGCGCAGACCATACCCAGATGTTTTTCCCGGATGAAGGTCAAACACTCGCGCTCGGCACTCCTCCTTGGAAGGAAGGCCGAGCGCAGACCTTACCCGGATGTTTTTCCCGGATGAAGGTCAAATACTCGCACGCGAAACCAATAACTAAGGGCGAGACTTAAGATCATACCTAAATTTTATTCATCCCTAAAAAAAAAGGGGGGAAAGTACACGGCGCAAACGCCTTACAATAATTAAATAAGAAAATTAACTTCAATGCATGCCACAATTCCACCCTCGCTTGCATGCGCACGGAGGAGCGTAGGAAGGTGGTGAAGGAGCCCTCCCAACAAAGGAATGACCAGTGGACTCGCCAATGCTAGGCGAGCCTGGGTCTTCGTTGGATTGGCGACTTGGATGGTGCGACGCCGCTGAACTCTCACCAGAGCCGTCCACCGGAGGAGTTGGAAGGCGACGCCTTCGGCCTCGAAGGTCAGGAGCAGCCGGCGGAGCAACGGCCTCCTCACGACGAGCGGGCCAGGGAGGAGTCTTGGCCTCTTCCTCCGAGGAGTAGTAGATAAACCCCGGAATTTTCACAAAGGTGTCAAGATGCACCGACTCTGACTCGGAATCAGTGTCCCACAAGTCCCGTGTGGAGGGCGGAGGAGTTGAGCTCGGCCCGGACTTCGTCGGGATGGCGGAAGAACCCCCAGGCGAGTAGCTGCTGAGGGAGAGTGTTTCCCCCCGCATCTCGCTTGAGTCGGGAGGAGTTGGAGCAGAGTGAGACATCGCAGGGACGGAGAAGATGGGAAATACGCCTCGTGCAAAACCCATTGAGAAAACCCCTCTCCTTATATAGGTCATGGGTGGAGGGGGAGAGGGACACGTGGCGAAGCGAGACTTGCCGAGTACAGCGGTCAGCAAAAGGCATCAAGTCCCAAGGGTGAAACCCGTTGGACCGGCGGGTAAAGGCACCAAGACCAAGGTTCTTGGGCAGAGCGCCACGTAGATAAGACGAGCCCGCGCTCGTCCTCGGTTAGGCGACGAGACGGGTCGAGCACGCCTTTGACAAGACGAGCCCAAGCGCGAGCTCGGCTCCACATAGGCGAGGGCGAGCGCTCCGTCAAACGACCGTTCGATTTCAAAACTTATTCAAGGAAATGCGATTAAGAATCGAAACAAAACGATAAAGGCATCACAAACCATGAAGAGTCAAAGATAATAGTTGCGCGATTCAAAACACATTGTTCAAGCACAAAACATTACATTGAAAAGAAAAGGGTGGAGTCCAGCGTTGGGCCTAAACGCGCTCAATTTCCGGCGGTGTCCTCACCCCCTCCAGCAGCGTCCTCATCATCGGAGTAGTAGATGGAGGAATCAAACTCCTCAGGGTTCTCGCATGGCTTCGGGAGTTCCTTCCCATCTCTGATCCGCTCTAGCAAGACTTCTTGAGCCCGGTGCAAACCCATGGAGTAATTGGCTTGCCCCTCTTTAAGAAGGAGACGCTTTCCGTCGGGAGTTTGAGCCCAGATCTTCAAGAGATCGTCCATGCGGGAGAGAGCCGCCTCTTCGAACGCGGAGGAGGCCTGGAAGGACTCGATCACGTGCTCGCCTTCTCCTCAGCAGCGAGGCGAGCCTGCTCCGAAGCCCGAGCCCGCTCCTCGGCATCAGCAAGCTTCCCCTCGAGCCCGGCCATGTGCTCGAGCAGCCTCTGAAGCTCCCCTTCGCCCTTGGCCTTCTCCGCCACATACCGCTCCAAGCGCTCCACCAGTTCTGGGATGCGCATCGCCACCTACAAAAACGGCAAATTTGTTTAAGTGTCGGGCAGGAAAAGCACCCGAACTAAAGCGAAAAACACTTACCGAGCCAACCTCGAGCTTGAGGGTGGAGGCAAGGTCCTCCGTGGCGGACGAACAAATCTCCATTCGGTCCGGCGGAGGGATGAAGCTCTGCAAAAAACGGCGAGGCTCATAGTCCCCGTGCAAGAACGAAGGGTTGGGGGGGAACGCCACCTTCACAAAGGCCGGGTTCCCGCAATCCACCGAGCGCGAAGGTGGTGACCGTGTCCCGCTCAACGAGGCCCCTTCCGTCGCGGAGCACACGTCCTTGCGCTTCTTGCTCGCCTGGGCACGCTCGGTGGACGGGGTGGGAGTGGGAAGCAGAGGCCGTTCCTGGCTGGACTCCGAGCGCGGCTTAGACTTGAACAGCTTCTTCCTATCGGCCGCGGAGATCATGATCTCACCTGCAAGGAAGATAAGAGATAAGTTCGAGTCCCCAGAACAAACTGCGAACGGAGCACATATTCACTAAGGAAGTGAACGAGGAGAACCTGAGGGTCCTTCCTCGAGCTGACTCTGGACGACCCGGCGCTTGGGCTCGTCCTCATCATGGAAGACGAACCCAAACTTGGCTAGAGCTTCGTCATTTACTAAGGCCCCGGGCTCGTAAGGGCCACCTGAACACAACATGTCCGTATCAGCGACAGCCTTGGAAGAGGCAAAGGGTTTGGATCGCCTACGGAAGGAGCTGAGGGGAGCGTCTCGGAAGGGGGAGGCCGACCCCACGGAGACAAAGACAAACTTGGACTTCCAAGTCTTGTTTGATTCCTTCTTGGTCTTAAAAAGTCTCTCTTGCCGCTGGCAGAGAGCGGCGAAAGAACCCCCATCCGACCCGGAGGACTTCGCCACTCGGAACAGGGTTAGTAGGCGCTCAAGGTCGGCCCGCACGCCCATCTCCCGACAGCGGATCAGGAACCCCGCCAGGTACCGGTGCGAGTTCGGCACCAATTGGCACGGGAGGAAGTCAAAGTACTTGAAAAAGTCGATGACCAAAGATTCGATGGGGAAGCGGAAGCCGCTCTCAAGGGACTTGAGATGGATGGCAAAATAGCCCGGAGGAGCATCGAATACTGACTCCTCCGGGGTAGGGCGACGGACGGTGACGAGGGGGCCGGCGTAGCGCACGGCCTTGAAAAACTCGTCGCTCGACAAGTCGCACTTGCACTCGCGGATGAGCGAGTCCACAAGCAAGGTGCGTTTCTGGAGGCGGGGCTCAATTACCCCGGGTAACTCGACAGCCGCGATCTCCTCAATAGATGGGGAACCCGGCTGCTCCGCTCGGTCACCCTGGGCTACGGAACTGTGACTGCCGAACCCGAGCCTGTGTTTGGCTTCGGACGTGCGAAGAGAGGAAGATTCGACAGACATGAAGGAGCAGAGCAGAGGAACTGACCTCGAATAGGCGTCGCCGGAGAAAATCGGGAAGCAACGAGCAGCGGCGCTGAACAACGGTGAATGGCAAACCCTAATGTTTTCTCTCTCTAGAATGTGTGAGAATGGAGGAAGCCTTGGGGGCTATTTATACTAGAGTTGGGCCTAAGTGAGGATGGGCCAAAGAGGTCATAATGGGCCGCCACATGGGAGAAGCGAAGCGCCACAACCGTTCGTGGAGAACTCCAAGCGTCATCACCTGTCCACCAAGCTACGCGTGGGCCCACGGGCTGGCCGTCCATAGTGTTTTCTACTCTCACGCGCTCCGCTGCTAGATGCCACGGAACCCGGAGAGTTGGGGGCTTCTGATGGGGAATAACCCCACGTCCGCCTAGGCTCATATCAGCATGAATTTCCTAAGTGTCGGGCTTGGACGTCCATACCTGGCCTAGAGCTCCGCTCGTCTTCCTGCCCGACTCAAAGCTCCGCTCGTCTTTCTGCCCGGCTCTGCGCTCCGCTCGTCCCTCCTGCTCAGCTCGGCCAACCAAGCCGAGCCCGAACCCCGCGACAACGACGTGAGGAAAGCGACGTTCAACGAAGACTTGATGAAAGCGATAGGATGAAAGGGACAAGACCTAAGGACAGGTGACGTCCGCTAAACGACGAGCCTCGATCAGAGGGCTTTGACTTAGTGTATTGTACCCCCTATAAAAGGGGTAGCACCCCTCATTGTAATGGACCCGAATTTGAGATCAATATACTTCTACTTTGCATTCTCTCTCTCTAAAAATTATATTATTTCATACTCTCGATGGTTTATAGCCATCAATATATATATATATATATATATATTGTAAATATCGATTTTAATGAATTAATGGATTATTTATATTGCAAAAATCGATTTTTATGAGTTAATTGATTATTTATATTGTAAAAATCAATTTTTGAGAATTAATGGATTATTTATATTATAAAAATCGATTTTTATGAATTAATGGATTATTTATATTTTAAAAATCGATTTTTATGAATTAATTTATTATTTAAATTATATAAATCGATTTTTATAAATTAATTGATCATTTTAAATTATTTTTCTTCAATAGTCCAGTTCCTGCTCCGAAAATGTTCTTGAAAATATTCTCTGAAATCTTATTTTTGATACCTATTAGTTATGAACAATATAAATATGTGTTTGTACAATAAAAATGATGTTTTTGGCATATAAAATATTATGTGATGCATGACGGCAAGTTCGGGTGTTAACACTCGAAACTAGGTCACTGTTTGTTATCAAATGTTATGTTGATTGATGATTATGATGAATGATTATTATGATGATTATGACTTGATGAAACTATTGATTAAAATAATTATTGAGGATTAAATTATGAATTGAAATGAATATGTTGACGATTATGAAATGATTTGAATTGTAAGGATCTCTTGAAGAACTCTAAGATATACCTAGGTTAACATTGGTTTCTAAGACTATCTAGAAGACCTCTAAAATAGCTTAGAAATAGGCCTTGCGAGTATAATTATGAATATTCGGTTGCCTGGGTTAAAACGTACGTACGGGATCTACAAACCAAACTTGAGGCACTCGTTTGGGGATACCACCCAACCCGACAATGAGCATTCCGCTGTTTGGTTTCTAGATGACCTTAAGCGAAGGTAAGTTTAAGATTTTGAAAAACCTCTTTTTGAAAATTTGCATTTTAAACTAGAGCCTAGCTTAAGGGTTAGTTAAGAGTACCTTAAACTGGAATATAATTTAACTATCTTAAACTAGAATTCGTTTAAGAGTTGGTAAACATCAAATAGATTGGCCTTAGACTAAGAATAGTTTAAGGATATTCTTGAATGAGGATGTTGAATGATGAATATGAACATTGAATGATGAATGTTGAATATTGATTATTGAATATTTGAACTGAACACTTTGTGCATGATATCAAATGATTTGATTATGAATTTGGATTCAATTTATATGGATGTTCGACGCATTAGATATGCTTACTCAGCTTCAACACTGAGAGTGTATTATGTTTTATTTCCTACACGCAGGTTAATAGAATGATGTGACGTGATCCTGGAGGCAGACGGAGGCGAGATAGTCCAATTGGATGTGATGGTTTTGAATTGAAGAAAATAAATAAATTATGTTTATGATTGTGATATGCTAAGCTTTCCAAATATTAAAAACTCCGTACTGTATATGTTACAAAAAATATTATTGTGATAAATAAAAGTGTTTGAAAAGTTTTAAATTTTAGGATTACCAAGTTAATACTTTAGTCCGAAAGGGGCTGAGGACCAGGACGGATTAGGATGTTACATAATTTGTCTTATATGAGTGTTACTTGTCATCGGATAGATAGTGATTATATTATGCATAAACGTGTTCTTGCATTTCGTGATCTCAATGATTCTCATACTGCTTAAAATATTTTTCTATTGCTTGAGCGTATTCCGCGAGAATACAATTTAGTTAATAAAGTGTTTGCATTTGGTTTTGATTATGCTACTAATAATACTGCTGTTATTCCTAAACTTAAAGAAATTTGCCCCCTACTACGAGTATGGGTAGATTTCTGTATCAAAGGTGTGCGTGCCATGTTTTAAATTTATGTGTTCAACAAGGATTAGAAGCTATGGGGGGTGCAACAAACATTAAAAATGGAATTAAAAAGATTTGGGGTTGTGGTATTAATATGAAATCCTAGAAGTCATTCTGTAAATCTAGGGATAGAAGAGCAATAACATTTGCCAAAGATATCACCATTGGATGGAACTCTACATACAAGTTGATAACACAAATTCTAAGCTACAAAGAGGAACTTGCTGAATTTCTTAGGAATGAACTTAGTTTTATGATTTCATTGAATGAATTTGTTATTGTTGAAAAATTGAATGACGTATTAGAAGTTTTTAATAACGAAACTCTTACTTTCTCGCATGTTTACCAACCAACTACAAATAGATTGTTTAAAGAGTGCGCTACAATCGCAACATGTTTTTGTGAAAGTTTAGCCGATCCAAATTTATACCCGTATGTCTTTTCTATGAGGGATAAATGATGTGCTTATTATTTGTACATTCTTGATATTTATAAATTTGGTATTATTTGTGATCCTCGCTTTAAGATTGAAAATTTTAAAATTCTGATTGACTATTACTTCACTTGTTTTTAGATGAAAATAATTATTATTACAACCATTTAATAGAATGCGCACAAAAAAGAGATAATGTTATTAATCTTTTTGAGGCTTTATTTAAAGAATTTCAAAGAATATACGGTAATGCACTGGAAGAAACAGCACCTCCTTTGCCCCCAAGTCAAAAATAGTTTTTAAAGGAATAGTCGGTGGGCTTTTGGCAAAAAAGGTAAGCGTGGTCGGCCTTCGACAAGTTCAGGTGGTACAACTATAAGTTCCCACAACAAACTTGCTATGTACCAAGGGGTGCCATGCAATTACGATGACGACGACAACGTGGAGTTTGACGTCCTCGCATTGTGGAAGCGGAACGAACACATATTCCTATGTCTCGGAATGCTAGCAAGACAAGTTTTATCCATCCCGGTATCAACCATAGCAGTGGAACAAGAATTCAATTCTAGCAGCAACATTCTAACCAACTACCGATGTTGTCTTAGCGCTGAATCTCTTGAAACACTTGTTTGCAATCGAGATTGGCTCTTGGCAAGACGTCGAGCTCAAGAGTCAGGGTACGAATTCAATTCTGAACAATACATGAATGCAACAACAGATGGAAGCCCTAGTTCTGAGGAATAAGTTATAAACTTTTTTTTATGTTAATGTTAATATGTAATTAGTTTTTTAGGTGAGCGATATATAAGCTTTTTCGAGAGTTTCTTTACGTTTCTTTATCTCATCGCTTTTTTTGAATTGTCAGGATATTAAATGTAGTTGTTCATCAGTTCGTGTATTACTCATTTTACAATATTTAAATAACAACTACTCCCTCCGTTCTCAAAAACACTCCCTCTTTTATTTTTTTTCACTTTCAACAAAACACTTCCACTTTTTATTAAAAACCCACTTTTACCTTTATTTTTTTCATACCCTACCTATCACATCATACTTTTTCTCTAATAATCTATCCATCACATCTTACTTTTACTCTTCACATCAGGGGCAAAATTGGAAGTCAAATATAATTTAATACTTCCTTATTTTGGCTCCAAGTCAAAGTAGGAACCTTTTTTGCAAACGTAGGGAGTACATTTTTAGATCTTTTATTTCATTATTTCGTTTAACAATTACATATTTACACTTTTCAAATTTTTTTTAGAAAAATAGGGGGGGTTGCCGAAACCGGTCGGTACGATACCGGAATCGCCGATACGGGTACCGGTACTGTCTTGTCCGGTCACGATAACGGTTCTTAGGGGTGGCGATATCGCAACTGGAGGTTACAGAACCGAAACCGTTCCGGAAGTGTAACGTGTCTATCCTAGCTGCTCCAAAGCTTTCACCAAAAGTCTTGAAGGCTATAAAGTGAGGGCGAATCCACATTTTTTTTCCTGTTAAAACGCATTTTACAATTAAAGGGTGCTTTAAAGTCTCAAAGCCTAATTAAAAGATAAAGTAGGCTAACGCCAAAATTCCAAAATGGATCACTTTTCAGTTTATATTTCTATTTATATGGTGCTTTATTCCCGTCTTCCTCCGCCGCACATCCCCAGGCAGCTGCTTATCCTTCCCCCAATCTCCTTTTTCGCCTCTGCCTTCCGCAGAGGACCTATTTTTTTTCTCGTTACAATTTTGTTATTTTTTTTTACATTCAATATCTAACGGAAATGGCAGTGGCATACCGTCAATTTTTTGGTTCGGATGAGAGGAAGGCAATAGAGCCGCCGCCGCCGCCGTCGATTGTGGCGCCCGTGGCCTCATCGTCCCTCTCCACCGTTATGCTCACCCAGGATGAGCTAAAGAAACTTGCCGCCTACAAGGCGGTGGAGTATGTGGAGTCGGGTATGGTGATAGGCCTGGGCACTGGTTCGACGGCGAAGCACGCGGTGGACCGCATCGGCGAGCTATTGAATCAGGGCAAGCTGAAGAATATTGTGGGGATACCGACTTCGCGAAAGACCCATCAGCAGGCTGTTTCCCTGGGCATTCCGTTATCGGATCTAGACGCGCATCCGATTGTGGATCTGGCAATCGACGGCGCGGACGAGGTGGACAGGGATATGAATCTGGTGAAGGGACGCGGGGGGTCGCTTCTCCGGGAGAAAATGGTGGAGGCGGCTTGCAAGAAATTTGTGGTGATTGTTGATGAATCGAAGCTGGTGGGGCATCTGGGCGGTAGCGGGCTAGCGGTTCCGGTTGAGATTGTTCCCTTCTGCTGGAAATTCACCCTGAAAAGGCTGGAGATGCTGTTTATGGAGGCGGGTTGTATTGGGAGGCTCAGAAAAGTGGACGGTGGGAAGAAGGGGGAGGAGCCCTATGTCACTGACAATGGTAACTTTATCATCGATTTGTTCTTCAAGAAGGAAATGGGGGAACTGAGGGCTGCGAGCGATGCGATTCTGAGGCTTGCTGGTGTGGTTGAGCACGGAATGTTTCTTGATATGGCTACCACGGTGATTGTTGCCGGAAAGCTTGGCGTCACCGTCACAAACAAGGGGTAGCTAGGAAATTAAGCAAGCCATCTCAACTTTTTTTTTGTTTTGATTTTAGATTCTCTTAAAAACTTCATACTACTACTTCAATTCACCTGATCCATGTACTAGTATAATCTATATGATCTTAAGGAGGTATTGGGGGGGAGTCTTTAGTCTTCCCAGAACCCATGCATAATGTGTGACTTATTGTTTGAGATTGAATGGGTGGGAATAATGCCCACATCTTTGTCACATTGTGTTGTTTTTCTCTCCTATTTTCACCACCTTGGCCCTCTTTACTTTTCTTTGATTGCTCTCTTAAGTTTAGTTGATCATTGTTATGTTTGCAAATTGTGCAGCATAACTTTTTCCCTTCTTGATGCATTTGTCAATGGTTATGACACAACCATTGCCTCTCTTTGTTTCTCTAATGAGAGCCGGAAGACATGGTTATATATAAAAAACATGCAGCCAGACATAATTGTTTGGAATCCAAGTTCGAGATTATCTGAAATGCTTGTTTTAAAACTAGAATTCTATCACCCCGCAAGACAAAAGCACAAGGGGGAGGATTAGACCAAAGACCCATGGATAGGAAAACATAATGATTGAACTAGCAAGAAAGGTTTCTATTACTAGACTTGGCAAACCGGACCTAGACTCAATAACCCAAACAGAATAACCCAGAAACGAATCCAAAATGACCTCAAAACTGTAGAATCGAATTAAACTCGATCACCCGAAATGATCCAACCCAAAACCAAACCGAATGTATTCTGACCTGATTCAGGTCTGGATCTGATTGAACTCGAACAAGTTAGACCCGAAATGATTAAACCTGGAACTAGTTAGGCTCGAAACCAATTAGACCCAAAACCGATTAGACCCGAAAACCAATTAGACCCAATATTCATCAAACTCAAAACAAATTAAACTCAAATCTAAGAAAACCTAATAGCTCATTTGTTGATGTCCTTCAAAGAAAAATATATTTCTAAGTATAATTGGTTTAATGTTCAAATCTTTTACTCTGTATTTTATCACATAAACTAAGATTGTTGCCTATTTTTCTATAGTTTATATAATTTATAGTGTCATTGTAACACATATCAGTGGATATACTACAGACACTTGGATATATACTCCCTTTAGATATACGGAGGAGAGGCTACATACAACGCTAACATTAGGAACTCTAATGCCAAGTGATCTCATCTCAAACATGCATAAACCTGAATCGATATGGACCTGACTCGAAATGAGATCGAACCGGTATAAACCCGAAACAGTTTAAACCCAAACTGATATAATCTGAACCGAAATCGAACTGAAAAAGAAAAAACTCAAACTGAACTTAACCCGAAATGAACTGACACGAAGAAAATTGACCCGAACCAATTACTACATATATTCAAAAGAGACCTGAACCAAAAAGATCCAAACCGAAACCGAACCGATTGACCCGATTGCCAAATCTATCTGATGGACAATAAATCCACCAAATGATCCAATTCAGAAGAATGGATCACAAGAAATAAAATAAGAACAAGAACTCGAAAATTATATGTGTATTATTAGCTTGATTCAGCTTGAGGATCCCCCTTTCGGGTCCCCTCTATATATAATACATGGATTCTTGGATAGTTAAGGTAATTCACAATCAAAAGGATGTCTCATCCGCCAATGGCGCGATCCCCTTTTTCCAGATAAGTCCCCGCCTTCAGATGAGTCTCCTCCCGTAGATTGGCTCTTCCAGCTGTCTCTTGAATTATGTTGGTTCGGGCCCCGCGTCTTGGGCCGGCCCAGATTCAAGCCTGTTGGAGTTGTGCCCTGATGGCCAACTGTACGTTTATCGTTATTCTATCATGTATAGGCAGATATAATATGTTTACACATCTCATGCTAATGTAAACAAATATTATATTCCTAGATTTATATTTAAAAGATGTTTATCAGATAGTGTTCTTCTGCTGATGAGACTAACATCTTGAAATAAATATTTATCTAAATGTCCATAGTCGAGTATTAACGAGAGTGGGATATCGTTAATGCATGTGAGACTAGTGTGTGTTGGATGTTTGACTTAGTCTCATAGTCAATGACGGTGTGTTCGCATCCGCACATGGGCAGATATTATCTAGAGATAATAGGATGCCGGACTGACCCATCCTAAAGATGTTGCTTGAACTTTTAGTTCATGCTCTAAGCATCTTTAGCGCGACCACGGGTGTAACTATCCTTCGACTTGAAGTATTACGTTTTCTGCATATGTGAACCCGCATGCTTTGATGCATTGTCCTAAGCCATATGAAATAAGGATGGTATACAGGCTTTGTTTTGGGTATGCCGCAGCGCGTATTCAGATACGTAGATTACGTACATAGGAT